CATATAACAAAACATTTATTTTTATTTTTTTGAGAGAGACTCTCACTCTGTTGCCCAGGCTAGAGTGCCATGGCATCAGCCTAGCCCACAACAACCTCAAACTTCTTGGCTCAAGCAATCCTCCTGCCTCAGCCTCCCCAATAGCTGGGACTACAGGCATGCACCACGAAGCCCGGCTAATTTTTTCTATTTGAGTTGCCCAGCTAATTTCTTTCTGTTTTTAGTAGAGACGGGGTCTCACTCTTGCTCAGGCTGGTCTTGAATTCCTGACCTCAAGCGATCCTCCCACCTTGGTCTCCCAGAGTGCTAGGATTACAAGGCGTAAGCCACCGTGCCCAGCCCATAACAAAACATTTAAAATTTACCATCTCAACCATTTTTAAGTATACAGTTAAGTAGTATTAACTATATTCACATTGTCGTACAATAGATCTCTAGAACTTTTTCAACTTGCAAAACTGAAACTCTATACCCAGCTTTCCATTTTCCCCTTCCTTCAGCTCCTGGCAATCACAATTATTCTTTCTGTTCCTATGAGTTTGACAACTTTGAGGACTTCATATCAATAAAATCATACAGTATTTGTCTTTTTGTGACTTGCTTATTTCATAGCATAACTCCCTCAAGGTTCATACATATTGTAGCATGTGACAGGATTTCCTTCTTTTTAAAGGCTGAATAATAATCTATCATATATATGTACCACATTTTCTTTATTTGTCTGTCAGTAAACATTTGAGTTACTTCCACCTCTTGCTACACTAAATAATGGCACAGTAAACACGGGTGTGCACATATCTCTTTGAGATCCTGCTTTTAACTCAGTTTTTTTTGATACATACCCAGAAATGGGATTGCCGGATCATATGATAATTCTATTTTTAATTTTTGGGGGAACCTGCGTATTGTTTTCAATAGTGGCTGCACCATTTTACATTCCCACCAACAATGCACAAGAAATTTGTTTCTTTATGTCATCACTTCCACTTGTTATTTTCTTTCTTTTGATAGTGGCCATCCTAAGGGGTATGAGGCAATATCTCATTGTAGTTTCGATTTGCATTTCTCTAATGATTAGTGATGTTGAGCATCTTTTCCTTTGCTTCTTGGCCATTTGTATATCTTCTTTGGAGAAATATCTATTCAAGTCCTTTGCCTATTTAAAAAAATAGATTTTTTTACTATTGTAGTTTTTCATATGTTCTGGATATTAATCTCATCGTGTATGTGATTTATACATATTTTTCTCCAATCTGGAGGTTATCTTTTCACTCTGTTGATTGTTTCCTATAATACGTAGAAGTTTTTAAGTTTGGTGGTGTTCCATATCCATTTTTGCTTTTGTTCTTTCATTTTTCTTTGCAGTATTTGGTAATTTTCAGTGTACAGGATATTTGGGGGTCCCTCAGGCTCAATAATTCACTAAAAGGACTCATGGAACTCAGAAAAGCTGTTATATTCAGAGTTACAGTTTATTACAGTGAAAGGATACAGATTAAAATTAGCAAAAGAAAAAGGCACATAGAGCAAGAGTCCAGGAGACACCAGGTACAGGCTTCTCCCAGTGGAGGACAGGCACGATCCTCTCCCAGGGATTTGTGCAGACAGTGCTTAATTCTGGCAATAATGTATGATGACACACTTGGAATACTGCCAACCAGGAAAGTTCCCTGAGCCCTGGTATCTATGTCAGACGTGGCTGACCTTAGTGCTCTCTCTCTTCCAAAGGCCAAGCTGATACTGTGTGACCCAGGACCCCCACCAGATCGCATTGTTTCCATAAACTGGCTGGCATGACCCAAGGCCTCATGTAAACAAAGACAGTCTGAACAGGCAGGATATTCCAAGGACTTAGAGCTCATCTTCCAGGAGCTAAGCAGGGGCCACATCTTTTATTGGTATGTGCAGGGTTTGGATGTTGATCCTTTTACTGTACAGCAGACCTTGTGCGTCATCCTTCAGGTCTCAGCTCACACGTTACTTCCTCAGACAGGTATTTTCTTTGTCTTTTTCCTTTTCTTTTTTGAGACGGATCTTGCTCTGTCACCTGGGCTAGAGTGCCATGGCGTCAGCCTAGCTCAAACTCCTGGGCTCAAGCAATTCTGGCTCAGCCTCCC